TCATAGCTGTTATCACTCTGAAAAAGAAAAAAACAGCACAGGTAGGAGACACATGTATTCTTATTCACAGCCCTGACAGTTACGGAGAGACCTGTGACAGATCCTGGCAAGCAGACTTGGCCAGTGACTATTCAAATATTGGTACTTATGGCTACAGGAAATGAGACAACTTCCTCACAAAAATGACCTTAAGTATATATGTAATTTTTTAATTACCCTACTATGAGCATCAGAAGATGGGTTTTTTCTTAACTTGGAAGCTTGGCCTTTTAGGTCTTTAGTTTATGTTGAAATATGAGCATCTGGGTAACATGGGTGGTCTATAGATCTATGCTGAGGAGCCGTGCTGGATCTTAGAAGGTTGTTTAACTGTCATAAACACTGGAGGTTTATCTGTCTCTCTCCTTGTTCTCCTATTCATGGGATACGGCAAGATGCTATTTAATTTTGTTGTATTTCGTGATTGCTGTGGGAGTGCCAAGTGATACATGCAATATATCATGAAAAAACTGAAGTGCAGGAAAGGATGGAGTGTGCATCAGGTCAACGAGCACAGAGGAGAAATTGTCCCAGGCGGAGTTGTGTAGGAGAGAGGCACCTATCCAAATCTTTTACCGTGCAATATTGCAACCAGTTTTTCCATCCCTAATAAATTTCAGAGGGTTTGGTTCTGGTTTGCAATACATCAAATGCAAAACCTGCTCAGGACTGAGCGTTGCACTTACACATATCAATTATGCTCCAAGTCAGACAGGATGTAATTAGTCCATCAATCTTGGAATCAGTGTTTGGAGACAAACAAGCTTTAATGGACAGATAGTGAAAAATTACACATCTACACCCATGGCCCAAACTCATCTCTGCCCTAACTAGGAAACTGATCTCTTGCCAGCCGGGAGGAGCGCGGCTCGCTGTCTTTTCCAGGTGAAGTCACCCTTGATGGAGCCAGTGTGACCCAGTTATCCAACTGGTCTAATCCCTCACTGGGGAGCTCACCAGGCTCCTCCTGCCCAGTACCTGCACTATCTGCCTCCGCATCTCCGGGCAATGCAGAAGCCGCTGGGCTCTCGGGATCATTTCCCCAAGGAGAGCATGCAGGAGCAAAGGCTCCTGATCGCTGCCAAACACACAGCAAGATGGAAAGTCTGGGAGTGCTTTGGGTGGCAATTAATTTGGTCCTTGCACTGCCCTCAGCATGGTTCTGTGTCAGGCTCCCAGGTGCTTCCAAAGCACCTATGGAGAGTAGTTTTGAGCAGAGATCCGACTGAAAACCTTCCTCAGCTGCTGCAAGGGGTGAGTTAAGCCCCTGCCGTGCCCAGGCTGGGTACAATGGGGTTACTTACACGCTGCGAGTGGTTGGAGGCTGTGCTGACCATGCTGTCACAGCTGCCGGAGTTGGAGCCAGCCATCTCCAGCCCCAGCTCCTTCCTAGGCATATCACAGGCTGCCGCGGCGTCCGGCGCAGGGGGCAATATCCCAGCTGAAGCAGAAGAAAGGAGAGGCATTAAGCTGCAAGACCCTCCCAAGGCGATGCAAGCTGGCTCAGCCGGAGGGAGGACAGGCTGGAAGCTGCTGGATGGATGCTCTCTCCAGGAGAAGAGGCAGCTGGGCTTTTTTAAAGCATCCTTGGAACTGAAGATTTCCCCAAGAGAATTGGAAGCAGAGTAAGCTCTGCACTGCCAATCCACAGCTACATCACGTCGGTGGTTTAATCATCTCAGAGGTGTGGATAAGGTAGTTCCTGAGTGAAGGAAGAGGCTGTAATCCCAGCTCACCTTGGGAGCTCGGCAGCAGCGATCCCGTCCCAGTGCAAGACCCAGCACAGCTCTGCTTCCTGGGACCTCTTCCCCCCAGCACCCCCGCCCTGGTGCCAAGTCATGCAGCTCCAGTGCTCGCAACTTCTGAACAGGCTGACCCAAAATGCTGCCGTTTAGTCACAGCCTTGCTCTGCTGGGAGCTTCCTCCTGGCAAAGAGCTTCCTCCTGCCACACTTCCTCGAGGGGCCACGGAGGTGTCGTGGCCGTGGGGAGGTGCCCCGCAGCTTTGGGACATGCCTGGGTGTCTTTGGCATGGATTTGCACGAAGCAGGACAGCGCTGGGAGCTCTACCCGGGCTGCAGTGAAGTGCCGTGTCACCCGCCACCCCGGGGGGTTGCAAGCAGCACCCCAATGTCCCCTCTGCTCTCCTGGATGCAGCTCATACCCCTGACGTTGGTGGGACCTGAATGTGGTAGCTGACAAACAACCTGACGTGGGGTTCCCAGCACTGAGACCGTCCCAGGGGAGGGTCCCGGGTGGCGGAGGGACCAGTTATGCTTGCAGGGAGCGTGGCCAAGAGAGCTCTGCTGCCTGCGGGGAGAGGCTGAGCAGCCTACAAAAGGCATAATTACTTATGGATGTAAAGCATTAAGCTTCCAAAATTTACTGACACCACCAATTATGTGTTTTCTTCGTGCACACCGCCCATTCTCTGGGAGAGGAGAACTGGGCTGCGGAGGCTGAGGAGAGCAGCAAAACAAACGCCTCCTCCAAAACACACGGACCCACACGAGAGGGTTTTGCTCGTCAGAAGACAGAGGAGCTCTTTGTGCTGTAACCTGGCCGCAGCATGCAGGAACACACTGCTGCTTTTTTTTTCTGGTAGCAGGATCAGGGAATTAGATCTAGCGATAAGTGAGCAAAACTGGCTGCTTGTTCAGAGGGTTAGACCCTGAAAGAATTCCTTTGTAATTGGAATACGCCACAAAAATCCGATTTCAACACCCGCACACGGACAGATCCAATCCTTCCACACAGGAGAAGTTTAGTATTTCAGTCTCGGCTTTGCGTTATTTACTGCTTAAATTACATTTCAGTAAGTGGTGCTTTTGGAACAGCAATACCCTTGATTCGTTGAACTTGGATAACTTTATAGCCAGAGCTTTTAATCGTCAGGAAGCAGAGACAACCGTCTGAGTTTGGGGGTTTTAGGCTTCTGCAAGCCGCATGGTTTTGTTGGGCACCCCAATATTTGCAGTGTGAAATATGAATCTACTTCTACCTCCTGCTTGATCGGGTTGCTGCAATGCTCCTCGCTCTCCCCCGCCCTGCTGCACAAATCCGAGAGCAAAACACTCCTGGGGAAGCGAAAGTCTTGCTCCAACATGACGCTTGCAGCGGGAGCAGCTGGTTGAAGCCAGCGTCCTCCGTGCAAGGCAGCCCCACGGGCGGGAGGGCAGCAGCGTGGCCCAGCCCTAACAGGGGTCTCGCCGGAGCTGATTTCTCCATGAGGATGCCCACCACGGTCAGCCCTTTGGAAGAAATCATTTGTTCTCATTTAAACAGAGTCTGCAGAAATGTAAAGCAGCTGCCAAGGCTTTGCCCTGCGGAGCCCCAGCTCGTGGGGAGGCAAAGTTCAGCCCAGAGCTGATCAGATGTTGGAGACGATCTACGCAGAAACAAGAAGTTTGTTTTCCTGCCCCCTAATGCGATCATGGGTCTAACGCACTCATCCGACTCGGGGAAGTGGAGAAATCAGTGTCGAAAAAATCCCGGGTTTTAGGATTCAAAAGGGTTTTACAGTTCCTTCCTTTCGCTGAACAGCACGGCTGTTCAGCCACAAACTAAAAATGTGACTGAGCATTTAAACTAAAAGACGTGATACTTGAAAAGCTGCTTTTCAACAGTGCGTATATCGTCCCCCACTAAAATTGCTTTTAGAAGCAGCTCCATTTTATCTAAAATAAAAGGCCAGTTCACACAGCTTTTGTGACAGCTGCCCTAACTGTCCTTTACACAGCTCACTGAGCCCTCAAAGAGGTGCTGGGTAGCAATTAATGCTAATTGCTTTATATGAAGAGGCTACTTTCTTTTGAGCCCAGCACTACGACGAGCACTCCGCCACAGCTCCCCAGCTATGTGAAAGAGCCTCGGGAGTTTTGCTGTCTACGGTAAAGCAGCCGTACCCCCTCCGCCTTACAGCTGCTGGCAAAGGGCTTCATCCTGGCCACCTCGAAACACAAAGCAGAGCCGAACACGTTTGCAGGGACTGTCCCAGCTGCTCCTGCTCTGCAGCAGGACAGGTCCCACCTCAGGGTAAAAGGAGACGACGGCGGCAGAGCTACCGTTCCTCCTGTTTAGACGAGTAAATCAGGTGTACGTAGCGCTTGCCCGAGCTGTTTGCTGTCCTGAGCACAAGTTTTCCCAGCCTCTCTGCCGGCTCCCCAGCTTTTGTCCTGCCACCGTCTTTGCTGGTGCCACCTCCTGTGACACCTACACCACTTTCCCTTCCAAAGCAAAGCCCTGTGGAGCCCAGAGACCCACATCCTGCCCAGGCAGAGGTGCTCAGCCCCTTGCCCGCAGCCCATTCAACAGGAAAAGGACAGAAAGCAAAGCGCAAGAAGGAATAGAGATTATTATATATTTGTGTCTTTTTTTTACCAGGACATCCGTCGTTCCGCGCTGCCCAAATCCTTGTCCCAGCCGTGCCTATCCCAGGACCTCTTTGCTTTTCTGGGCTAACCAAACAGAGCCGGGTTACACATTAACTCACCTTCCAGCAGAGATAAGGCTGCACGGGTGCTTGGCAGGTGGGTGCTCGGCAGGTACGCGCTTGCGGGTGAGCTCCAGGCCCCTCACCTGCAGCCTGCTGCACTGGGGTGAGAGCAACTCCTCTGCACCCATGCAACAGGTTCGCTGCTGCTCCAGGCGGGGGTCACAGCACGGCTGAAGCTTCATGTTGTGACCCGAAGCAGCCGAGTCTCTGCGTGCCGTGCTTGCTCGCAGCCCTGCCAGAGCAGCTTTGCTCCCAGCCAGCGCGCTGCAGGCAGCAGCACCAGCACCCTGTGCCCGCGAGGCTGCGGGCAGCTCTGCTCGGTACCACCCAGCTCACTCACTTCCCAGCTCCGGCTGGTGTCCTCTGATGTCCTCAGCACGGGTTTTGCCGGAGACTCCTTAATCCGACAGCCTGTTCTGCCGCATAGCTGCTCGCTGACATGCGGAGGAGCCGAATGCACAGCCCTGACCCAAGAGCCTTTGTACATAGTAATTAAGTCCTTTGCTGGGTGTTTGCACCGGGTGCTGCTGAACACGTTACCCCACAACAGGTTTATTCTCTCAGGTGGTTTTGTGCATGAGGTCCCTCGGCTCTGGGCAGGACCCGGTTCCAGCTCAGCTCTAAAACCAGAGATCGTTGCTAGAACAGGTAGTTACTTGCCTATTGCCAAAAGTTTGCTGCCTGCTCTGTACGCTGTAAGGAGAGTCTCGTAACGATGGGTGAAAAGCCATTTTAGAAGGGAAGCTTCCCTGCTAAGCTTTATTTGCGTGCTAGGGGAGGGGGTGCCCAGGTTGTGCCCAATTCTGGGGTTTGTTCTGCTTGTACTGCCCAGCTGCAGCTCCCCCTTCACACCTCCTGGTGTCCTTCCCCGCAGGCGTTGAGCCACTCTGCAGGTTCACTCCCCGTCTCTCTAATGCTGGAAACTTTCTGCTTTGCTTGGCAGCTTGAGGCCGAGTCCTAAAGTCCCAGAGACACCCATCACGCTTCTCTTCACCTCAGCCGCCCTCCTCACTCAGACTGACACCTTCTCAGAAACGGCTGCTGGGACATTGCCCTTGGCAGCATCCCCTCCTCTGAGGATGAGGGTACCACCTCTGCTCCCTCTCTCGAGGGGAAGGTAAAGAGGAGCCCAGTCAGCCCTCCGCAGCACGCTGTGCAGCACTGGGTGACACCAGCCCCCAGCATCCCATCTGCTGCAGAGGCAGCTGAAAGAACCACAGTGACTCGTTATCACCCAACTTTGGGCTCTCCTATTACAATTACAGCTTTTCTCTCTGATAAACAACGCTTAGGCCATTGCTCCCCCCCAGAACTGACTTGTATCTGCTCTGCAAGGTGCTCCTCACTGCCTAACTATAAATACCCAAGCAGAAACCCTGCAGCAAACTTCCAGAACTGATACGGCCACCAGATTCATTCAAGTTTTCATGCTTCAATGATTTTAAAATAATATTTTTTTTTTTTTTTTTTTAGAAAAAGGTTGTGTTGAAATGTATGTTCCCTGCTACACAGAACAGGGAAGTGGAAACATTGGTTATTTAAAGCCACGGCAGGATGGAGAGAAAGCAGATGAGCCAGGAAGCACAGAGGTTCCCACTGAGCCCCAGCTGTGTGCTGTTACGAAAGGGAACATGTGTGCTGAGGAGCAAATCAACAAGCCAGAAGCTCCTGGGAGCCCCAGCCCCGCTCTCCCAAGCCGGCCTGCAGCAGAGGTAAGAGGCACGAACGTGGCACGAGTCTCGCGCAGCCGGCTGTTGGAGCGCAGGGCTTAGTGCAAGCTCTGCTGGAAGCGTTAGCTGGTGTCGTGCTGGTGAGAGGGAGATAGGGTCAGATTCGTGCTGGTTTTGTCAAGGTGCACTCGGTTCTGAGCCTGCTTAAAAGGAGGGAGCAAAGCAAACCCAGAGCTACTGTCTTCCTGTACCTGCAAACGTGGTGAGACTCAGCAGGCACCCCAGGACAGGGCAACTGTGTCCCGAGAGCAGCGTTCTGATAGCGCGAGGATCTACATCTGTGCAGTAGAATAGGTAGAGCTTGCTGCCAGCAGGGCTCTGTGTAGATCAGGGAAATGTTATGGTCCGTTGAGAGATGTCTTGAGCTTCTCTGAATCAGATGCCCAGAGACAACCTGTTATTTTTCCACACTCCTATTCCTCCAACCAATATAAATAGCTAGAACCCCAAACGAGGCATGATTTCATATATATGGCATGAAGTGTATGCAAGTAGTCAAATGATGCAGAGAAAACTACACAACGCCGTGAAAGGACTTTGGCATCTTAACAGACCCGTTGTGCCTCACCCTGTTCCTAAACAAAAGGACAGAAATGATTCAGCCCTGGCCCTGGAGGAAACGCATCCCTGCAGCGTCACCGATAAGATACCTGTGAACGTAACGACGTTTATTTGACTCTGTTGGACACTTTCCTTAGACCCAATTGTGTGTACAGTATGCATGCTGACAAATCAATTATGAAAAATACTGGGTAGTTAATACCTAGTATTACACAGCAGGTTAGAGAAATAATTAAATCTTAATGTGTCTGGGAACTAAGCAAGGAACCCTATTTATTACCCCTATTTTACAGAAAAGAGGTAGAGAACTGAGGTGATTGGTTTCCCTGGCTCGGTTAGCATTAACTCTACATCAGAAGTGAGGAGTCAGCTCTTGAGGTATAATACAGCTCCCCAACTTTTTCCCCAAGGCTTAATTATAAATAATAGCCCAGGACACTGTCATCTTGGACAACCTAATTTTGTTAATGCCCCCCTTGCATTCTTTTGTTACAGAAAGCACTCTGGTGCTCAGACTCAGGAGTGAAAAAGCAATATTGATTTCAGGCCGTTTGAAGTGATTTTATGCTGCCCAGTCTGGAGCAAAGCAAGACCCAATGGCAGTTCTACAGCTGGATGCAGAGTTTGATTTAAAATGCAGGCAGACGCTTGGTTTTTATCAGAAAGGGTTGTAAATTTCAAAATAGCAAGCTAAAAATGTTGTTTCTTCTCTTATTAATGAGTTTCCCTGCCAGAGAGCGGTTGGCAGGGTTACCCAGGGGTGGGCTCGTGTGGGTGGGAGCCCGAGCTGCCCTCCGGTGCCGCCTGCACGGCGGGCAGGGAGAGCTTCAGCAGTTGTGTAGGTCTGATTGCTTGGGAGCTCCCTCGCCACGTGGGTTTCAGTGTTTAAGGCAGTCAGCAGAGAAATTCGGCGTTTTCTTCATTCCTGCCCGTCCCCTCCTCCTGCTTCCTCAAAACTGAGAAGGGCAAATAGAAAATGCTGCTTTTTGGTCAAAATTGTGTATGAAAACCAACACTGTGTTCCTGCGTGGGGCTTTGTTGCCCCAGTGTGGATCAGGATTTGAACAGGGCTCTGGAAAAAACGGGATAGGGCTGGGAGACACTGTTCCCAAACCATCCGAGTGGCCTCTGCTGTGACTGTGCACACAAAGGGTGCAGATTAAAATCCTGAGTCTGAACCATGCAAGAGGATGTTCTTTTTCTCACCCCTCTCCCAGCAGTTGTTCTTCTTACCTAAGATTATCTAAGGAACTAATTTTGAATATTACTGATTTACTCCCGAGATCAGGCTTTCAAGCAATTGCATCCATGAGGTAGACACACGTGCTAACGAACCCAAATCTTCCTAAAGTCCAGCTACTTAATGACACATATATTGAAATGGAGAAAAGGTTCTGGAGGTGTGTAACTCTACAGCTGTTCCTCTTGACACCCAGCTCTAATTACACAGGGGAAGTATTTTACTATTAAACAAAAAAGTTACTGTTGAGCAAGTTCAAAGTGAAGCAAGTTCACCCTGAACAGGTTGTGAGGCCACAACCCTCTCGCCATGACTCTCCCTCAGAGCCAGGGGAAAAAAGGGAATGAGACAGGGAAAGCAGATGCGGACTGCTCAAAGGCCGCGCTGCGGCGATGTGAAGACCCAGAAAACCGCTGTGAACCGCAGCAAATGGAGTGCAAACCCGAAATTCAGGCACTGGGCACAGGCTGCAGCGAACAAGTGTGCATGTATGTCACATTTATTGCTGCATCGACAGGTTTTGCAATTTAGGGCACCTGAATCCCTCGGTACCGACTGATCCGTAGCGAGGGGACACCCACGGCAACACCGCGCCACTGGGTTACATCGGTAAGGAAGGCTTTCAGAGCCCTTCCACGCCGCCCGTTTTACTGCGACGGGAACGCGCGCTGCCAGCGGCAGGGAAAGTCCTTGCTCGGCCTCTGCTCAGCGTGTAAACTCGGACAAGTGCTGCTACAACCACGAGATGTCTATCTCTTCACACAACATGCTTGTGAAAGGCCACCTGATTAGTGTGTTAGGTGCTTCGTTAATTAAAGAAGGAATTCTGTGCTGGTGAAAGGGCCAGGCTGGCACCAGGAAACCAGAATTCTTGGTCAGCCAAGATTCAGAACGGCATAGATTGGTAAAACAACACCAATAACCCAGCTTTTTGTGAGCATACCTCCAAGGCAAAGATTTCAGTCGCCAGGGCTCATTTCCTGACCCCTGTGCCGGAGTGTTCAGCGAGGAAACGAGCGCTCCTTTGAAATGGGAATGGAAGGAAGGGTAATGGTAAGGCCTGTATCTTACGGGCTTTCTGGATCAGGCTGGAGAGGCGACATTTCCCCGCCAGTGCCTGAGCCCATGTCCCACACCACCTCTGCTCCAAGGTATCCGTAACGTAACATCTTCCTGTACAATTCCCAACAGTTCAGTGCAGAAGTATTAGTGATCTTCCGGCGTTCATCCCACAGGTACCAGGATGCCATTTCTGTGATACCTCTGGGAATGAATCCAGAGGAGGCCATGGAGATGCTCCAAGGGGCTGGAGCACCCCTCCTGTGAAGAAAGGCTGAGGTCTGTAGTGACAGGACAAGGGGTAACGGGGTTAAATTGAAAGTGGGGAGGGTTAGATTAGATATCAGGAAGGAATTCTTCCCAGAGAGGGTGGGGAGGCACTGGGACAGGTTGCCCAGAGAAGCTGTGGATGCCCCATCCCTGGGAGTGTCCAAGGCCAGGCTGGATGAGGCTTGGAGCAACCTGGTCTAGTGGAAGGGGTCCCTGCCCATGGCAAGGGGGGTGGAACTGGATGATCTTTAAGGTCCCTTCCAACCCAGACCAGTCTGGGATTCTGTAATTGTACCATTAAGGGCAGGCAAACGTTGGGACA